GAACCACTGGAGCTCACAGGACTTCTTAGTGAGGGTGCGTTGAACTTTGCTTTACAAATTTCAATGAAAGCTAATGGAGTTTTGTTAAAAACTGAGGCTGCACTTGAAGAACAAAACGAAGAGTTCCATTAAAAGTGCCTGCCATCAAGAAGAGTAGGCAGTAAGTAGTGAGTGAAAATACGAAGAGTTTTCAAAGTGCCCGTAGACAAACAGAATGTTTTGTCATAAGCCAATTGAATAGGCAAGTCCACTCAATACCCGTTCATATGTTCATGTTTGCGCTTCAAAATTTAAGCCTTTGTCCAAAAACAGCTTAAGGTTAGTCTTTCCACAGACCTATTCTCTACTTTTTCTGCTACTTCTTCCATTCCACTTCATTCTGCCATTTCTGAACCATGAATCTTCAGCTAGAAAATAATCCGTCTATAAGATTCGCTGTGCATCGATGGCAATTCATACCACATGAATTTCATAGTAGAGAATTATGAAACAAAGAAGATTTTGATTTGCTTTGATTATTCGAACTCCTGCAGTTTCTCTTCTTTTTCCGACATGGAAACTTTGAAACGGAGTAGTTTGACACAAACATTACAGTAATTCGTGTTATTCTGAGCTCTCTAGATCAATTTTAACCTAATTTCCTCACGAAGGGACCATATTTATTAGTTGTCCAGTTTGAAAGACTACATAAATCTACTTTTTGCTAATCGGTAAGAAGGAAAGGTCTTTGATAAAAGCGATTGCATTAAGTTCAATTGCAGGCTGATAGCGAAGTTCAACGTGTGCGTCCGCGAGTATCGTACGCAGTGCCTTCGTCACGTCACCATCGGTCTCATCGACTCGTCCTATGGCTACTTGTGCAACGAGGGATACAACAGTGAGTCCGACTCAGTTCAGAACTCAGGTATTGCGGGCTCGCGCAGCAAATGTCAGCGAGAAAGGGCGGTATTGATCGAGTTGCGACGTCGATAAACAAGCTTCGGCCCCCTGCGCATATTGGACTGGGACATAAAATCCATTGCTTCAGCCAAAGCCGAACATGAGCGACATTCAAAATACTCCAGTTGAATAAGTTGCGATTGTTTCATATTGACCTGGGAGTGTTTGTGAGAGATCTAGTCCAATAGCGCTATTAGAGAAGCGTTGGTGGTTTATTTTAGTAAAAATTTGTTTTACCCCAAGCTTTTAGCGTTAAATGAAGCCCTAATGCTCTCCAGAGCAACAGTTTTTCCCTTTACAATGTTATGGAGTACGATGAATTTGTGACAAGACTTTTCTCCACATTCATCATCTCATCATCTCAAACACTTTACTTAATAGAACAGTGAAGAACAGTTTTAAATCTTCATATCTCACTTAAATTCTTTCTTTCTTCTTTATTCTCCTTCTTCTCATTCTTTTAATTCTCAGTATGAATGTTAAATTTAGCAACATTTACGCTGCTGAATGGAGTTGCCTTCCAGTTCTTCTGNAAGATGCTAAAGTTGGCAGTTGTCTACTTTCGCAGATATTTTTGGGCAATTTCAAGATTCAGCAATACCTAAAGGAAAAGCATAGAAATATGAGGACGCTACCAAGAATTAATCACTGCGAGAATTTTGAATTGCACCACTATGGCTAGCTGTTTTAAGCTGGAGGTGCTCACGCTCCGCAGTTCATGCGTTGTTGCATAAGTAGTGGAAGTGCTAGAAACTTCTTACCTATAGCCTGCCCTTGATAAGCCATGCACACCTAGGAGACTTAGCTCTCGACAGGGACAAATACCTCGTTGAGTACTGATCTCATAAGTTTGCTATTCGAATTCAAATCTTGCTTTGCATGCTTTCGATTCTTTATTGCTTCCGCAAAGTATGCCCTGAAGAAAAATATCTGTCGCTCGTTGTCATAAAACAAGCCAATTCATGAATGATATATATCTAGCACTAAAAGCAAGGATTGAGGAAGCTTTCTTTAGCATGCTTATTTTCTTCGTCCGTTTAATGTTTTAGAACGAGTTTAAATATGCATTGAATAGAATTCCTAAGTCCTTTAAACGACAGTCGATTCCTAGTGATATTGACGGACTTTCTAACGAATAGTCTTATCCAGCGGATATGTGGAATTTGACCTGCGAACATTTCCAGACAACATCACATTGTCTATTTGACGATGAAGAGGTTTTCAGTTTACGTAGGCTCATGAATACATTGCTAGAGCACTGCAGCGGGACAAAAATCCTATCGATTCATTACGCCGATTGAAAACGACTGAAATGAAGAACAGAGTTCGTAGGTGACCTGCCTCTGGGTTTTCTCCAGTGTAAGATTACCGCCAAAAACAATTCGCTAAGAGCTGAGTTTCTAAAGAGTTGAAAAGCAGCTAGGAACGGCAAATGAGGACAATCTTTTGTCGTTCGCACGACGAAATGTTCATTGGGAAAATTAACATCTCAGCTGACGAACAGAGTAAGGGAATTCATTCTCATTGATTGAGCTTGACCTATTGCTATGTGTTGAGATAGAAAAATTTCCGATAGGAATTAGATGACGTCCCTCACATACGATCACAAAAATTCAAAACTAAAAATTAAAAAAATATAAAGACCAATTGTAAAGTCAGTTCTGCAGATCTTTTAAGTGCTGAGCTCATAATGCCTTTTAGTTTCCGGTAAATTGTTAAAGATTGTCGAGAAGCCATTGTTGTCTATTATGTGGAGAGCAGGTGTGGCGCAGTGATCGGAGGCGCCACTGCGGCACACACGTGAAGTCGATCCCCGCGTTCATGGGCCCCTAAGCCCTCCATCCCTCCGGAGTCGGTATATTGGTACCAGAGTTGTCTAGGAGGATAGCAGCACTGGCTCGATACATCGGTAGGCCACCGCGAGTCATTGTAAAGGCTAGATATGCATTCAATCACCTCCAACGATACTTAATGAAGTCGAATGCAGAGCGCATCCCTCAGGGATTGATCAACGCCGAGAGCTTCATCCTCTTATTTATCTTTTATGTGTTGGGCATATAAAATAAATTTTGACCAATAATTAGAGCTTACTTCATTGCAAATCATTACGACGGATCATATCTATCTCATTAAACTGGTATATATAAAGAATATCTACTTGTGTTTCATATATATTGTTAAACCAACTACCAAATGCAAACAGCAGCCTAGTTCTATAACGGACGAGGTTTTTTCTTTACGAAATGCACAAGATCTTGAAATGTTTTTGAAAGCATAAAGGAATACTAAGGGGAACTTACAGGATAGATGAAAAGCAAGAACCACCGGAATTACTAACGAAGTACATGGAAAAATCAAATTGTAGAGAGTAAAGCACAAGAAAACGGATGACGATATTTGCAGTGGAGAGAGAGGGTACAACTTCGTCGGTGTGAGTGGTTCATGCAATCATAACGAGTGCACCGAGAAATAACCCTTAGATAGATGCGTAGGCCAGACAGTGTTTAAGCGCCCATTTTATGGGAACATTTCATGGAGGCTTCACATATGTGTAGAAGGAACTTCGTTCTGTCACATTACTCCTATTTTTGATTCTGTACAATATTCGTTTCATTTTAAATATGTCTAGAAAGAAAATTTTAGAAATGTAGAGGACAGAGCTTTAGTTTTTCATTTTTGAATTTCCAACATAATTTTAACGGCTGCTGCTATGAATGACACATTAGGGAACACCACCGTATCTGGCGGGTGGAATACCGGTTGTTCAATTGCTTTCGTTTTCGAAATATCAGCCTTGATCCAAGAAACGAAAGAACTGTGTGTCATGGAGTCTAGGAAGTTGGAATTGCATTTTAGTAGAATAAAACACTTAAAGCTTTTAGGAAAGGCTTAGTAAATTCCAACGGTTTTCATTCCTACTGCTGAAGTTGAGGACGAGCCGAGATGTTTTCGTTTGATACTGAAAGCGGAAATTACATATGAATTGAATGTATTGCACTTCATGCATCTTGAGCTTTATGTGATAAATTCGAAACTTTTAGAAAAACTATCTTCCTAGGAACTCTTTGCGATTGTAGTTCTAGAGAGTGAGCACTCCAAATGTTATGAAACATCGAGAACTGTTCCAAAACTTGAAAAGACCGAGAAGATCTAATGGAGACTCTCCGAACAGCATCCATTGAAAAACATGAGTTTAAACACAGTAGGGTGGAATAAATCCCAAATTAAGTGAAAGAATAAATAACGGTGGCTTTGCCTGTGTTCGTTTTCTCACATACTATGAGGCTGTAGATATTCGCTGATATCACAGCATTCATGGAGTCAGCCGAATGTCTGATGGAGTTGGACCGCAAGTCGACGGTGAAACAATGCCATGATGAGACGCTACTCGAAATAGAAACGGCTAACGTCGAAGCCAACATCGCCATGGAGGTCAAACTTGATCGGATGTGTAGGTGTGTTGCTGTTGTTCTGTCGAAATTTCCATTTTCCATATCTTAATACCAAATACTCTACATGCACAAATTATGGGATGTAGATTTGTACTTTTGCGATCGAAAGGAATCATCACTGCTAGCCAAAACCTCATTGAAGAGTCCTAGTTGTAAATAATACAGTAATGCGTGCTATGATTCGATCACTTACTCTCTTTTAGTGAAATATAACATCCTTTTCAGGGCGCTCAACTTCTTCTCTGGTTGCGTAAAGGCACCAATCAAGCAGGAATGCGGGCTGTCAGCTTGGCGTGTCATATATAGAGTCCTCAAGGACACCACACACACCCTCATGCCAGGATGTCAGTTTACTGGTTCTTCCACCAAACTCGTAGCAAACGATACCATAGCTACAAGCCATGCCCATTCAACTACCTATCTTACGACAACTACGACAACGTCAATGGTAGTCTTCAAGGAGCTCAGCAGTACTTTGAGCATACCAAGTAACCCGTACAAGGTCGTGAATAGGCAAATCATAAGCGAAGAGTTCTTACAATTGAATACTAGTCACCGGTTAGTCATTGGCCTAGCATTCCTGATTGTGATGCTTTGTTGATTTGGTCATGACTTTGATACGTGTATATTTATTGCTTGCACTAAAATTCTGGCTCTTTAGAAGCTCACGAGATATGTTAGGCTCTCCCTGGTTCCTGTAGAAGTTGTATAACAGTCGTGTTAAGCGTCTGTTTGAAGCTATCTTTATGCACGGACTTCTGTTCCTTACTGTTCTATGAGACGCAGGTGAAATAAAAGGCTAGAAATATTATATAAATCCGAAGGGAACTGGATCTTTCCATTAACAAAAAATTGCTCTCTATTATTACTAGTTGTTTATCTCGTTGTTCTGTTTTCTTAAGGTGGTAAAATAAATATAGGCTTATAGTGGACATGGTGTGGTGACAATTTTGCTTCCTTAAGC